CTTTTGAAGATAGCAGCGTGCTTTGAAGAGTCTGCAGCTCTTCAATTGCTGGGATCTGATGATGTGGAAACCTGACCAGCCTCCACGTTGGGTCGCAAAATCCAGCCTACCACCTATTGTTCATATGATGAGGGGCAGAAGAAGGCCCTGCCAACATCATGTTAGCAATCCACAGGAGGAAATTGTCTAACTTTAAATAAGAAAATACCAACCCAATACCAAAAAGGGGAGACCTTTGACATTAATTGCCTATTTGTTGGTTGGAGTCTGGTTTGTTTAATTATAAAAACAACAAGGTCGCAATTCTCCTGTTTCCTCAATAAAGAAATAACAAGCGAAGAAAATAATATGCACATTTTTAAACCCTGTAATTGCAATTTTATACAAAATTTTCAGTCTGACAATTACAGGATGAGGTGGAGCTTGACAACAAACCAGAAAAGAGTAGGAGAGAAAACATAATGCTAAGGACCATCAGGCATCCCAGGAGAGAGAGAGAGAGAGAGAGAGAGAGAGAAATCTGCTAACAAAAAAAAGAGTGCTCCCTTACTTCAATAGGGGATAGGGTTTAGATGTGGATCTGCAATTCCCCAACCTTTCACTGGGCCACTGGTTAAGGGCTTGGAGAATTGAGTTCCTCGCTGCTGTGCTGGAGAAGGAGTTGATGGGAATTCAGCGCAATGGCACAATATTGAGAGTGAAAGCTGCCAAATACTGACTATCTCCAGGAAAAGGAACAGAGCAATGGATTGAAGAAGGAGGGAGAGAAAGGGGGGCTGGCAGAGAAGTCTGATACCCAAAACCCACCTCCATGAAAGAATGGATTTGTAGGCTCTGCTGAGGCTGTTTCTCCACTCAGACCTCATTGTCCTCAGTGTCCAGAGCACTTGAAGAGTCAGCTGGAGAAATTTCCCAGGCAGAGTCACATGTCTCCTCTGCTGTACACCTTGTATGTTCAGGACAGACAGGAAGGACCATTTGGGCTTAGAAAATGTAAGGTATGTCACCCCGACACAAAAAGTAAATGGGGATTCCAGCTGGACACATTTCAAAAGAAAAAATAATCATTCTGAAATCATCATATTATGAATAGAAACCTGAATATGCTTCTAAGAATTGTGTGCATCAGTTGTTTGAAACACTGTAATCTTTAGCTTCCACCCACCGTTATCGCGCACATAACAAAATTCAAAGGCCTGTGATTGGATGTCTTTTACTGAAATGTAACCTGGTAAGTAGTTAAAGAGTTTACTTACCACCCCCTGAATATTCTTGTTTTTGCTGTTCTCCAGTGCTTTGACCTTCTCACCTTGCAATGGTCACATGAAGGGGTAGCTAGGGACACTATGATGTCACTGTTGGGTGTGGTTACAGACCACTGGATGTGGTCAGAGGCGAAACAGGCTTGAAACAGCAGAACACTGCTTTTCAGCAATTTTTCTGCCAGATATTGCGTTCACGATTCGATTTGAGATTTTTTTTTACTGAAGTTTTGCTCAAGTTCAATATTCACTGCCAGTCTATTTTTGACAGAAGCCGCATCAAGCAGCACAGAGCAGATTGAACCAGGCAGGAAGTCAGACACAGAACAGCATAGAGAATCTGGTCAATTTTCAAATTAAAACACCCTTTGCAGACTCCCGATCGTACATCAACAATAAACACAGTTAACAGTTTAACTACGTAGCTACTTAACTATGGTAGAAGCAGAAAAATCAAGGACAACTGAACAAATAAGCAAAATCTGAACAAGTCAGCAAAATCAGACTTATTTTGAAATGCTCCATGTGGATATGTAACTGTTGGCTGTGTGACTGTTTAAAACGGGTCAGCTGCGCTGTATAATTAACCTACATTTTAATCGTCGTCTTCACGATTAGCTAATTGCGTCCTTTTAAATCACAATTTCGATTTGAAAACGATTAATCATTCAGCCCTAGTGTTAAGTTAAGCACTCTTCCCACTTTGAAATCTAAAACTATCACTTTGAAATATAGAATACGATTTCTGATTCTACAAACACTCAACAAAAAGTTGAATCCAATATTGGAATGATGGCTTTCACTACATGACATGAGTTTTACAGGAGGAACTGATATAATTCAATGACATCACAACACACACACACACACACACACACACAACATTAACCTCTACACACATACATGATGTGCCCACACACCATTCACATACTGTAAACTCACTCAGGAAAACACCAACTTTTATAAACACTCTCTCTCACACACACACACACACACACACACACACACACACACTCATACACACCAACAGCCAAACATGCACCCAGCAAATCAGCATGAATAAATAAGAGATGGAGTTGTGCTTCACAGCCTAATCTCTAAGGAAAAAACAGCCTGCCGCATCTGCAAGGCTCAGCCAGGGCGAGTGAGAGGGACACTGCTGGCTTCCAGAAACCCAATTTGTTTGTTTATTGTCTTGGTGTTTTGTCTGCGGTTACAGTTCATTGCAGTCAGCCCATCATGGGCATGCTCCTTTAAATGGCATCTATAAAACATGGGATGTGCTCTCCCCACATCCACCTCCTCTGTACATGACGGAGCTGCACAAGAGCGTAACAATGCTACATTTCGTTCGTTATGGTGGGGCTTTGAATTTCCCTTAAAACACCCAATGGATTCACCCCAGAGGCTCGAGCAGGCGCTTTGAGAGGTGGAACAAACTGTGCTTTCTAAACACATTAGCCTATGAACACCGCTGAGCAGTGAATCTCAGGGTGCTGAAATCGGGTGTAATCATGTAGATAGATGGCTGACTTTTTATTGTTCCGCTAAGCCAAATCTGCAAGGCTGGTGGTGAATACAGGGTTTCTAAAATGATGCAATACCCAGGATTTTATGGTTAAGTCGTGGGGCTGCACTTCTATGTTCACTGTGACAAGACACTGGGCTGTCACATGTATATGTATCCTGCATACACAAACATGATTAGCATGCCAACACTACAGGGACTGCATAAATGTCAGTCTTACATGAAGACATTTGGATGAGCTGTAGTCTCAAAAGGCAATCTTAATATCACAGGGTGGTGCATTCACATATGGGTAGATTGTAAAAACTACTAAATTGTATTGTTTTGTCTCATGCCTGCAAACACAAGCCAGACTTTCATATTATGCCCTATTGATCTGACAGAGAGAGCAGGAAGCTGCCGGAGAACACAAATACTGCCTGGGGTGGCTCCTTAAAACTAGAGACAAGCCTCTTATCCATGGTGTTCTCTTCCTCTGGAAATCACCTGGTGGCTCATGCATATCAAGTACTTTCCCCAAGCCTCTTTCTGTCTTCTTCAGGCTCTGCTGTTTGTTCCAATGTCTGTGTGATGATGGTTTAAAAAAAAAAATAAAAAAGAAGCATACAACTACTATTGCAAGCTAATCTGTTTAACCGCTGCATTCTGATTATTTTGCAGAGATGCGATTGACGTTACCACATCGGCATGAGCAGCCGTTTTTGATTCACCACCTGTTTGGGAATATGCAGGCCCATAGTGCAGTATGGCAAGGTTAAGCTGGCAGGGTGTTTGCAGGTACAGACAACTTTATTCTAAGCCTTTAGCTCCATAACAAATTCCCACTTTTTACAACAACCACTGCAGAGTGCACAAATCTTTTCCAAGTTTCCAGTGTTACTGTCAAATATAGTGGAACTGTCACAGGGATCCCATCTCCAGTAATCCCATGGTGGCCTTTGCTTTGCCTGTCAGCAATACCAACCAATAACACCGCACAATAAAACCCTCCAGAACAACAGTGGGCCGCAGGCAGCTTCAAGGGCTACTGACGGCGATCTATAAAACAATATAATGGGTTGCCTGTCAGTGAGCGTGAAAGGGAAGATCTACACCTCCTCTGAATCTCTGAGGGGACTTCAATTAATCACAGCAGAATTGTATCATCCCGCAATAGGAATGTAAGGTTATTACTAGCCTCATATTCCGCAGGATGAAATGTGATGATAGCACTAATTGAGGATGGGGGAAAAAAGAAACAGCTGACTGCACAACGCTTGTCAAGGGGATGAAGGGCAGGTAAAAGAAAGGGGGGAACAAGGAGATAGACTGATATATATTAAAAAAGAAGAGAGGAAGTGGGAGGGGGATAGTGAAGACGGGAGGGGTTGTAGAAAGCATAATAATGATTATCTACTGTCTGTGTGCAGAGCATCTGACAGCAAACAGAAGAGTTTTCATTAGGGCCTCCATCTGTGTCATCTCAACAGCATTGTACTTTTCTTAAGTCACAAACAAGCCCTTTGTAGCTGGAGCTGCTTTTTTTCTTATTTTGGAGTTGAGGGGAACAGACAGACAGACAGGATAGATAGAAAAATAGATGAGAGATAGATGTTTTTCACAAGATTATCAGTGAAGATTATCTGGTAAAAAATTCTTCTTCTCTGAAACCATAATCAGATAATGAATTGTCTGCATGCTGATGAGACCACACACACATTACTCATTTTAGCCTTTTATATAGGCTACATGTTTCTTTAAAAGTTTCTTTCTGTATGAGCACACAGAAGGGACTTCCTTCACTTCCTTTGTGCTCCCAAAATGATCCCTCTGAGAGGAAACTTTGTTTTTGTCTAATTTAAGCAGTTAGTGAGGATTTCATGTTGCGGCACAGATCTGATATTCTGTGAATCTAGACAGTGTGAAGCTGAACATTTCTTCAGCCACACCTGCACGCCACTTTGAATCATTAGTTTCCAGTAGCTTGCTGGAGTCTCAAGGTACCCTAATAACTATTTAACATAGTGGAAATAATCAATATCCCAATCGATGAGCTTAGTTTATTCACAGGTTTGGCTGCTTTTCGTTTTCCCAGTCACGCCAGCTGCTTCAGAAATCCACAGTATAAATTGTTTGAATTCAATAATTTCTATTAAACGTTGTAAAAGCCACCTATTACACCACATGTACAAAACGTACACCAATAACATTTTCATGGTATGTCAACCTACCTGTCGTTGTGCTGTCAGTTAATCCCCTGAAATGTCCCTTTCATTTATTCTCCATTGTCAACCACAAAAAACAGAAATGCCATTTCCGTGTCGCTTCAAGACGTCCTCCACAACGCATAACCTAAAAATACTGGTCTAATGTAACAACTGTCCCGACGCACAATCCCTGAGTAAAAGAAGTCTAAATTGGGGCTGCTGGCTACTTGCAGGCAGGGGACTTCAAAGTCTATAAAAGTTGCTGGTCCTCCGCCTCTGACTCACAACTTCCCATCCGCCAGAGCGCCTCAGCAGCAGGGCAACACGCCGGACCGTCACTCATAGTTTCTGGATCCAAGCATGGTGGGACTTTATTTTGTTTACAATCCTCCTTCCAGATACTGGTTGCAGTTGGGTTTGGCAACGTCTTCGCCCAGTTAGAGAAATGGACTTGATGTGTCCGAGGGACGGAAGAGCCGCCGGATTCATCTCAGTGAGTGTTTGTGTGCGCGCGCGTGTATGTGTGTGTGTGTGTGTGTGGAGGCTGCTGTTACTGCTCTGGTGTTTTAGCGCCACCCAATGGAGATCTGTGGTGGTGAAAGGAAGGATTGCAGACATTAATCTCATCCAGTTTAAGATGATGATAACTTGATGGTTGTGCCTTCTTGTGAAGACAGCAGAACACCATCGATAGCAGCGACAACCATAAATGTTCCTTAATGTTGTTACAAATTGCTTCAGTGTAATTTCCAGCACTATGTGTGGCTGTTTAGGTTGATTAATATTTTTGATGTTTTTTATCAGCGCCTGTATTGAGGAAATGTTTTGCAAACAAACCAAAGAGGCCAGTTTATGATGGGATATGGTTTTGCAGAAAGTGCAGTTTAGGTTTTAGGTGTGTTACTAGAATGTTATATTTTTAAGCTTTATTTTATATATATTTTTTAAAAGCTCCCTAGCATTATTAATATTATATGCTATAATAATATTTTCTTTGAATCCACACTTCAAAATAACCTCCCCCTTTACTAACCCCCTCTCCCTAATAATTTCTGTATAGGCCCATAACTTGTGTGTTCTGACATGCATTAGTCTCCTGACTACTCACTGAGGTTAATACATCTGTTTGTCTCTGGCATTCAGCTTCCCCTCTCCTCAAGCATTACTGCCCGGTCTACAAAGGCTTCCCCCCAGTAATTGCATTATCATCTCTCCATTTCTCAAGCAGTCTCTTTCGTCTGTTCCCCCTCCGAAAGGCAGGAATGGGTGGAATAATCAATACCAACCTTTGAAATAGCCTGTGGAGATGCGCGGCAAGCATTTGGGTTTGGATTTGATTGATTTTGGACACCCTCAGAGAGTGTTATCATCATAAAGCCAAAACCATCTACCTCATAGACATGCAAGCAGAATCAAAGGGCAGAATACACAAATCTCTGGGGACCGAATACCAAAAATGTCAGGCTATTATCATTGACCAGGCTGAGCGATAAAATTCAAAGCAGATATGTAGACCACAGCCAGGCTTCACATCACTTCATAATTGGCTATGAGGAGAGAAGCTGTTATTTTTATTCTATTTAAGTAATTTATTATATGATTCCCAAAGTCATCAGGTTTCTTTCTTCCTCCCTCTCTCTCTCACACACACACACACACACTCTCTCACACACACTGAGAGAGGAGATGACCTCATTAATCTTTAGTGCATTGTATAGACCTATCCTGTCATACCCCTGACACTGTGGTTTGTGACACAGCTCTACTCATTAAATCATATGACAGGATGAGGTCAGCCGTGAGGTAAGGTGTCTCAAGCTGTGTGAGAGCAGATAAAGCCAGCAGTATTAGCTTCTGTGAGAGAGCTCAACAACAAACGTTCTGTAGGTGGCGGCTGAGTTGAGTCATGAGGTAATCCCGGTTAGTGAGCTTTCAGCATCAAAATCTAATAAAAGGCTCTGGTTTTGTCTCTTTGGGGTCACACCGCAAGGGAATAAGAAACACACATCTGCTGCATTTGAGGCATCATGTGATTTGGCAACCCGCAGAGGAAACCTCACTGCCTTTTTAGGTCTTGTTACTGTAGGTGGCACCTTGCATAACGCTCATCATCCCGTGCTTGTCATCCTGTGATTACTTTCACTTCGTACAGGGAGCAAGAGTTGTGGTGCCCTGACATTGATTGTGGTGGTCCAGCTTAAAATAACAGCACCCTGCTGGGAGCAGTGCGAGTCCTCTGCCTGAACCCTCACTCGCCTTCGTTGCGGAAGTGTGTTTGAAGACAGTGGGATGTCTACCAGAAAATTGCAAGAGGAAGAATAGGAGGCATAATGGCTGCAGAAGTGGAGCTAGCCATCAATAATGCAGAGGAAGCGGCAGTTAATGCCCCCTTTAAGTCAACAGGTCTGCAGACACCGAGACAGTTATTCTTCCTCAGCTGCAGATGCCCGATGAGAGGCAGCCACATCAGGCTTTATGGCTTTGTGTGCGGTTGCACTGCCAGGTCTTTCCCCCGACCTCAATCCAGATTATAGAGCCATTAATGGGTTTTCATCAGGGGCCCACCTTAATGGAGTTTCCAACTTCACCAGCTCACTCAGATACCAGTGGGGAGCTATAGCCACAGAGAAAGAAATAATGCCCACAAAAAGTCAAAATATATGAACTCAACAGTGAGAGTACTAACAGCTTTAATAAACAAAAATAAGGCACAACCAAGACAGTCAATGTTACACTGCTAAGATTACCATATAAACAGTATACTGTCTTTCATTAAAGTTTAACACCTGACCTAAGATGAGTAAAATGTAAATAATATCAAAAATGTTGTGTTTTGTCAGCTACTGTATAAGAGGATTATAAAAACATACGAAAATAGATTGGGTCAAATAAATAGCATATTGTATGTTTCCTTACCCGTTGAAAGAAAGGAGGAGAAGTCACATACTCATAATAACTTTGAACACACTATTTATTTTCAGAATTTCAGAAGTGGAGGACGAGCATTCAGATCCTTTACTGTAACAATACCAATTAAACAATATAAAAATACTCCATTACAAGTAAAAGTCATGCATTTAAAATACTTAATGCAGTAGTATTATCAGCAAAATGTACTTAATGTAAAGCATCAAAAGTAAAATAACTCATCATAGCCCCTGCATTACACTATTATATATGACATTATTAGATTGTTAAAACTGATCCATCAATGTGTAAGTAGCATTTTACTGTTGTAGCTGCTGTTGGGCCCCCTTCAATAATAATTATTGAATAATTTAGCTTTATTTGTAAAATAATGGATCATTTTACATCTGTGGACCTCAAACAGTTTGTTAAAATGAAGAAGTGTAGAGGGGAAATAACACTTTGGTGGAGCCACTAACACCTCATCTGAAACAATAAACAATAAAGGCTCAGGTTATGGTGGAAAGTGGCAGAAATAGTTTTGTTAAATACATGCAATGTAGTAAATGTATAATTGTATGAATTGTTGTGGAGAAGTAGACATTGGTATACAATTGAAATATTCTAGTAAAGTACAAGTTCTTGAGTGAATGTACTTTTAAAATAAAAAGATTACATTGCTGTTATGAGTGTGTGGCTTTATCCTCCTTTCTTTGATGTCTACAGTACCTGTGAGTCAACACCAGATTCAAAGCAAAATATGAGACAAGATGAAAATCTTGTTAAAATTAAGTTTTTTGCAGTGGAGATCTGACTACAGTTCATTCATTTTGCATTGCCACACAATAAAATATGAACTCCAGAACTGAACATTTTTCTTTTGTCTTGTTTTCTGTCCTGAAAATCTGCATATCAGATTATTTGATGCCTTCTCACCAGAGATCTTCTGCCCTGGGACCAGTGTCTGCGACCTTACCAACACACACACACTCACACACGCACACACACACACGAACAGAGAAAAATAGAGGAATCATAGGAACAAATTCTCTTATTTTATCGTTTCGTTTTGATTTAGGGCAGTCTGGCTCGGCAGCCTCTGACAGAGAAGTAGTGGGTCATTCATCAGGAGAGAGATTAAATCTTCATCCACTCCTACTGGATGTTGAGAGTACTTCATCTGTGCGAGGGGAAATAAACATCTTTTCCAATCCATCCTTTAAGGCAAAGGGAATCATTTCATATCCTTTAATCACTTGCCAGCATGTGGTGTTAACAGCTGTTTTCACAAATAACTAGTCAATAAATAGGTGCTGAAAAGAAAATGTGTTAACTTACAGACACAGAATTACAATGTGTCTGTGAATAACATGTAAGAGAGAGAAAAAGTCAACACACATAATGAAAGGTTCACACCAGCCTCTTCCACAGCATCCTAGCCTCATTGTTTTCAAAATGCTTCTCATCAGATAGTACTTAAGCTCCATCTAGTGGAGAACAGATACAGGTGCAAAGAGCTCTACATCTCAAAACTACACTGCACACAACCTCATCTGTGTCGCACTTTCTGTGGCTTTGTTTCATGGTGATAACCATAGAATTGATGTAGAAGATGCAAACTATTATAATTATAACATAATAAATAATATAATCATTATAGGAATATATAATATATATATATTTCCTAAATGTAAAAGCACTATAAAGTATTATTAGCAAAATGTACTTAAAGGTAAAAGTATTTCATACAGAAAGATTCTGAGTGTTATACTATTATATATTACATCACTGATAATCCTTATGGATGCATTAATGTGTATGCAGCATTTTACTGTTCACTGTTGAGTAGTTAATCTATCCCAACACAATATATTTCGGTTCATCTTACATTTGGTATTTAAAAACTTAATCTGAAATGTAACGAGTAACCAAAGCTGTTAAATAATTGTAGTGTAGTATATTGTACAATACATCATTTTGGAAGGAAGCAGAACTGAGTAGAGTAGAAGGATAAAGTATAATACTCAAGTACAAGCAGCTCCAATTTGTACTTAAGTACAGTACCTGAGTAAATCTACTTGGTTACTTTCCATTTCTTAAATTCATAAATAAATAAACACCTTCAAAAATACAACTGAATTAATTAATTAAAAACGGAATATCAATGCAGATGACATGTTGCTGATTCAAAGGGATGATGAAGAATAATGTTGTGTACTATATATGTCAAAACAAATTTAAGTGATTTATAGTCAGTAAATAACAAAGATAAGAATTTTATCAATAAAAGCAGAGGAGACATCTTTAGTATTGAGTGTGCTGATGGTAGGAATAAGCAGGAATGGGCGGATGGATGTTTTGTTTACCTGGTGCATTTAAATTGCCTATCAGCCTCAGTCTTTGAGCGCTGTCGGCTGCAAGATGGTCTGTGACCCCAGATAAAAGTGATTATGTAACACAGTTACAGGCTACTCTTTGTGTACCATTAGTGCGGTTCCTCTTTCAAAACTGGACCATAACAAGGACTCTTGTCTGATGTCAAACTCCAGCTCCTTTGTGTGTCGATTAACTGTGCAGTGTCA